CGTTATGTGTGTAAAAGTAAAGTAAAGTTACAGCCTATATACGTCCCACTGCTGGGCACAGGCCTTCTCTCATTTCTGAGAGGGTTTTAGGGCAAGGAATAATCCGCCACGCTGTCCAAATGCGTGTTGGCGAACTTCACATGTCTTCGAAATATTTTTTTCTTATTTCACAGACATGCAGGTTTCCTCACGATGTTTTCCTTCACCGTCGAGCACGTGGTAAATCAGCACTTAAAATTGCAATTAACAATTTCATTGGTGCCGGCGGGGATCGAACCCGGTTTGCTCGCGTATTGTGAAATTTACGGCAAGCGCTAACCATCTGAGCTACCACGGCTTATGTGTGTAATCATTGTATATTTACAAAAAATAATCACAAAATTTTATAAAGTGTAAAATTTGTGATTATTTTTTTGCAAAATTTTACAAAGTGTAATATTTGTGATTATTTTTTGCAAATATATGATTATTACACACATAACGTTTGTTAAAATTTATAAAATTTACCAAATCATTGTATTTTGGACATTTGTATTCTTCAATATTAAAAATTCTATCATTCGTCGTCAACATTTTTTAAAAATTGTGTTTCTGTTGTACCACCTTTGTATGCGAGTACTATAACTAATGTTATTGGGAAATCAAACAAAATTTACTATTAATTTAAAATTTTATTTTCAAGCAATAACCACTTGTAAAAAACCCACACTTCGTCACAAGAACAATGTAAAATTTTGTGATTATTTTTTGCAAATATATGATTATTACACACATAACGTTTGTTTAAATTTATGACATTTACCAAATCATTGTATTTTGGACATTTGTATTCTTCAATATTAAAAATTCTATCATTCGTCGTCAACATTTTTTAAAAATTGTTTTTCTGTTGAACCACCTTTGTATGCGATCACTTCGTCTTTGCACAAATTTCTAATGTACCAATTTAATATGGGAATGATGTTCTGTTGTTTGTAGGCACATTTTAATTCTTCGGTCACATCAAAATATGGAATGCCGTGCACGTGTGTTTCACAATAACGAACAGTTTTTTTGTCTTTTGGCGACAAATTATTGAAAGAATAACTTGGCCGAAACAAATAATGATCGATAAACGCATCATTTTTATTAGATAGTTTTACGTCTAGAATAGCCATTTCTCTACATTGAAAATGTTTATGAGGATATGTAATGTAAAATCCGTCCATGTCGATGATGTATCTAATATTTTTTAGATTTTGTGTCATTTTGAACCAAAATGTTAAAAGTATTTACACATGACTAAAAATATGTTTGTTCCAACAAACTTCACATAACAATTCATTCTTCGTTACTTCCCATCATCCCATTTCTTCCTTCTGCTCTTGTCTTCCTGTACTTTAAGTAAACAGAATCACATTCACTAATGATCAACTAATGACTCATTGTTAAAAAAGTATTTTTTAACTTTTTCACTTTGTGCTATTGTCTTTGTATTTATGGTTAGGAAATGTCCGCGGCGCTACCTCAATGCGTGTTGGCGAACTTCACATGCTTTCGAAATTTTCTCAGACTGCCGGCGGGGATCGTACCCGGGCCGCGTACTGTGAAATTTACAGCTTGCGCTAATCATCTGAGCTACCACGGCTTAATCATATACACACACAATATTTAAATATAATTTGTTAACACTAAATCATACACACGTAAGAAAATAACAGAAAGAAAAGTAAGTTTGTCAATAGAATAAACACTTAAAATTGCAATTAACTATTTAATTGGTGCCGGCGGGTATCGAACCCGGGTACTGTGAAATTTACAGCTTGCGCTAACCATCTGAGCTAACACGGCTTAATATAATACACACACAATATTTAAATATAATTTATTAACACTAAATCATACACACGTAAGAAAATAACAGAAAGAAAAGTAACTTTGTCAATAGAATTAACACTTACATCCATGGCCTTTGATGCGTTGAAGTAACACAAATGTAGTATTGATAGATCCACTGCGGTCAAACGACCATACACTAACTCAATGACTGGACTTGCTTGGTCTTATATAGTACCAGTAAGTAATAATTCTAATCTAAAGAATTTCTGCAGTGGAATTGATAGTAACTTTATGCGTCAACAAGCTTATCTCACGTTTTGTTGCTTATATCAACATTACTTCGTGTCGCGTCTTGTTCAGTGTATTGATGAATCAAATACGTTTTGTATAACACAAAATAACGCATTTTAATATTTAGAAATCACTATAATTGATCATTCCTATGTTAGTCATTGAGTAGATTGTACTGTAATAATCTACTAATAGCAGTAATATCATGGATAAACTAGATGTACAACAACATCTGAAAAAGATTCACCCCAGTCTAGAAAATAATGTTTATGCTGCCAATAGACTGCCCATGTATACCCACGTGCCAACGTATATAATATGCAATTTGGATACAGGTGATAAACCAGGCTCACATTGGGTAGCTTTATATATCGATACGAATGACGTCGGTCAATATTTTGATTCATTCGGACAAGCACCTGTACGATATCATCAAGAGTTTTTAAAAAAGGAATTGTAAAAGATGGAACTGGAATGTTGATAGGATTCAGAATGAGTGGACTTCAGTTTGTGGCGAATATTGCTTAATGTATTTGCTATATAAGTTTCAGGGATGTTCAATGCATAGTTTTACGTGTATATTTACAGGGAACACATTGTACAACGATATTTTAGTGGATGAGATGTTTTGCTCCTATTTTATGGATAATAAGTAATAAGATTTTGTATTTCGTAAATAAAAATTGTAACAAAATTAGGTAATGTATTTTATTGATGATTCAGATTACCGTTGCAGTTAGGAACAAAGGAGTATAATATAAGAGCACTGATAATCCGACGCACGAATAGATAATGACGGTATTCAATGAACAATAGATAAGAACAATGGAGCGCTATTGACGATGGAGGCCCTCACTGGATATCAATTAGATAAGAGTTAATTGATCTGCACATCTCCGGAACCGTGCATCCTACCCAAAAATGGACTGCAGATTCGTTATCATAGCATGCCAAAACCTCTTTCTTTCTTAGGATCGTGAGTCGACGAACGTTGTACTTGTACCACGTCTGACTCAGTGAGCCAGAACTGGTACAACGTAACTACTTGAGTCTGCTCGACCGGAGAAGAACCACGCTCTCCCAGAATACCAGTGTAAAATAGCAGCTTAATACTGCTGTGTTTCGTATGGTGAGTATAGATCCGGAGAGCCTTTTTTACTGGATACGAGGCATTCGATCCTAGACCTGAGGTGGAAATGCGTCTGAATTTTGATTCTATATCGAGGATAAATGTAGATGTCTATGGGCCACAGCATCCACTAACCACCAGGTGGACTGTCTGCTCGATTATCACCCTTGTTCTAAAAAAAAAATGGTTAGTAAAGCACTACAGAGAAGCGAAAAGCAATATAGAATATATACTTTATCACAAAAACAATGTTGATTTGCCTATATGTAACGATCTACATAGATACACTAGGAGAGGTTTTGGCCGTCGACGGATTGACGCTCCTATTTTGTTGCTTGAATATTGGTTTGAAGTAGATTTTGATTCGTAAAAGTGATGCGATTTTGTGAATTGTCTGCGCGTGTGAACTATTAGTTTGATGTTTTTTTAACCTTTTTATAACTGCTTACATCCGACAAAAGTTCTTGTATTTTAGAATTATAACCTAATTTATCTATGACTAGCGTGGTATTTCCCTTATCTGCGCGGACAATCATGAGTTCTGGTTTATTGAGTAGGTTCTTTAACGCTATTAATCCTTCTTTGGGAAGATTCGTTTTAGGCACTGAACTTCGACATAACATAGACGAAATGTCTTGACGTATCTCCTCCAAATCATCTTTCGGCATATTGTTTTTATTTAAATAGTCCTCGACACTACATATAACTTCATCGTACAGTAATCTGCGAGGTATTACGAGGGCGGCACTGAAAATTTCGGCAACCAAGGAAGTGACACAACATTACTATTTAAAAATGTATTTATTGCTTTTCGAAGTATTCTCCGCGAAATTTGACACATTTTTCCATACGATGGAACCAATCATTGAAGCAACCATTCCATTCGGAAGTTGGGGTCTCCAAAATGGCCGTTTTGTAGGCGTCCACAGCTTCTTCAGGTGATAAAAATCTCTGTCCACGCAATTTATTCTTCATTTTAGGGAAAGTATTGAAATCATTAGGGCTTAAGTCGTGGTTGAACGGCGGATGGTCTAATAATTCTATGTTTTCTTGCTCTAAAAAATCTTTTTGTTCTGTGTGCGGTGTGAGAACTCGCATTATCGTGATGGAGGATGATGCGGCGGTTGCAGTTCTCTTTACGGAGTTCAGAAACGACCTGTGGCAAACAAATGCTAGCATACCATTCTGCATTAACCGTTCTTTGTCCCTCAAGAGGAATAGTCGTAACATGGCCGGTTTTGGAGACCAACGTGGCCACCATTTGTTTTGCAACACTCCATGAACGAACAATTTTTGTTGGCTTTAACTCATTTTCGAACACCCAAACTCGTGACTGGTTTTTTGTTTCGGGTTTGTTTTTTTTTTTAATCTTTTAATAAATTTAATTAATTTAATAAATTTGTACGCGTATATCTAGGATTCGTCACTTGATACGATGTTGTAGTTGGCCTTTTGATTCCTGACAGGCTGGGAGAATTGTGTGTGAATGGAGGATAGATTGGATGATTGGAAGGGGAGGATGCCATAGCGATCATTGAGGGATTACTTTCTTGTTCTTTTCGGGTGAAGTGTGTTTTCTACAACTTCCTCTCCTTTAAATGAACATGCAGAAATAAGCTTTATGAAGGCTGGAGTGAATATTATAGATAGAATAATAGAGGCTGCAGCCATAATCAAGTGACTGATCCAAGGGTGCCACCAAGTGAAAGTTGTTGATGAGTCCCCTTGAGGGGTTGCAGGGGAGTTATAAAACATATTATCTTCATATTATATTATCTTCTATGATTCCAGATAGGGAGCCCTTTGTGTAAAGGGATGTTGGATAAAATTCCTCGGTTTTCTCGATTAGGGATATGGGAGTGTTTGCAGTGTCTGAGCTGACTACTTTCCCCGTCAGAGGATCAATTCCTGTTCCATTACACATGGGTAACCAGGAAGCCACCATTGAGTAATGAGTCCAATGTGGGTCTTTGTATAAATTGCCTGTTATGGGTTCAACCCATAGAGTTTCGTTTTTGTGTTCATCTTGGACTTGGAACATGCCGTGCTGTCTAACAAGAGGGACGACTAAAGAGATGGGTATATTGGAGTCTATAATGGATGTGATCTTGTAAATTCCATCTCTAAATTCGCCAATGGCGAATGGAGAATGGGTGATATATTGGGCAACTTTACGAGGTAGGTCTGGAGGATATAGTGTAGTCCATTTAAGATGTAGAAAATCACAGATATTATTTTGTATCAAAATGAGGATTTTTTATTTATTTGCTTCAATATAAAATTTATCTCAAATCTAAATTGGGCATATCCTAAATCAGATCTTAAATTTGAAGAGAATTCCATAGGATCAGTTGCCCGTGGTCCTCTGGCTCTCCTTGAGTTGAATATTGTAAACCTATGTCTAATAATGTCTGGAATCACCCTTCTTTTTTGTCTGGTAGAGATTGAAGAATTAGACAAGTGATTTAGAATATTTGGAGTCATGGGTATTCCATCTCCAGAAAAGGAAATTATATATCCACCTGCTGTATGCCATAATAATGAATTGTGACCTCCTATTTTACAATTTAAATAGTCACTTCCCTCAGGAATAGAGTATTGTTGTTTTACTGAGGGAAGTGATATAATTAGAGTATTAGATATTGACACAGATGAAAATCCATATCTGACCTCATGCACTTTGAAAGGGCATACATCAGATTGGTCAGAAGTATAAGTAATATATAGATATCTTTTTCCATCAGTATAGAGATTCTTTGTAATGTGACCCCAGTTTCCTATTGGACTCCTAATGCTACCGTCTGGATATCTTGAGATGATGACCCTCTTATATAGTGTCCTCTCATATTGTCCTGGGTAGTCATTCCTATAATAGAAACAGAGATATCTTTGATCCCATGGGATTTCAGGGTCTTCAACTATTTCATCAATGAGATTTGTAAAATATTTTGAAAAATTGATTTTACTAACCGGTCCTTTGAGAGTGATCACACTGGTACCTATGGTGTCAGTTGACTTTGATCCCCAGAAACCAAAGGTGCATTTGGTGGACACCAATTCGGACCAGACCATAATCCCCTGGATTGTAGAGTCAGCAAGATCAATTTTCCATATTGAAACAGATACTGGGTATTGTTCATCCCTGAGGTTTAAGAGGGACTCACAGTTGGGTCGAGGGGGATATGGTTGATATTCAATGCTGCTGTTTGTTCTGAATCTTATTTTCTCTGACAGAGAGGTGTCGTTAGAGCTAGTTATGGATTGAAGGCTGTTTGGGATTGGTATGGAAGTAACAAATATATTTATCCAATTAGAAAGACTAAACATGCTTAGTATGAGGAGTTTATTCATCTTGGTCGATGATCACGATTGTGGTATGAATGACTCCTGAAGGTGATCTGAGCTGGCAGATATCTATATAAATTTTTTTCTCTGTGAATTAATTTCAAAAAAGTAATGGATCTATTTATCTCTAGGGATTGTTTTTATTGTTCTTTTTTTAAATAATTGAATTGTACTATAGTGGTGGGGTAATATGTGGTTGTGGTTTGAGAGATCGTTTTGTTTGTGGGTTTGGATCTGGGTTGATGAGGGGTGCCCGCGTCTGTGGGTTGGTTTGGGCTACACTCGTTCAGGGAGGGATGAATTTCATGGTCACTTTACATTTACATCATTGTTCGAACCCAGGGATTTGAGGTTCTTCCTGGGCTGTGAAAGGGATTTCTTGGGGACCCTTCATAACTTAATAGATAAAAGAAACCTCGCTGGGACCAGTAAATTGCCCGCTTTCCTAAATGGGAGGAACACTCTGAGATTGGATCTTTTATATCTAAGTCTACAGGGGGATCCTCCGGAGTTGGAGACAGTTGCAGATGATTTTGTTGTTTTTGAGTGATCTTAGAGTCAAAGAATATGTGATAGTCATAACACCATCTATCTTGAGATGGCATGATGGCCCAACTTTTTCGGAAATAGTCAGGAGGAAGTGAATGTGAAGAATCCAAATTCAAAGACAGAGTATGCTTAAAGATATTGTCTTCCAAGTTAAAAGAGGTCTTGACAATAGTGAGTTGTCGTATATCATAGGTTCCCCATAACTTCTCATAAGTGCATTGCAATTGTTCTAAATATGGATGATCTCTGATATATAAGTGATCTCCATCTTGGAATTTGTCAAGGGATTCCCATCCATGCTTCAAGGGAAGTCCACTGGTCAATACTGGAATTATTGATATCACCTCAGGTTGGGATGAAAGGAAGGGAAATCTATAGGTAATCAGTGATTCCCAATAAATCACTCCATGTACTGTAGTTATATTTGAGGGAGGTAAAATCTTATGAAGTTGCAGACGGTCCCACATCATCAGATACCTAAGATCATTAGGCTCAAGGTATACAGGAGGTGGGTTCTCTGAGTGTCTTGATTGTAATGCACTGTCTGCAGGATCATATGTATGATCTTGAGAGCTTACAAGCTTTATAATTAATTGGATGCCTCCTATAAGTATCAGAATAACTCCAGAGATTATTAAAATTCTTGCGATCCATAGTCGGGATCTTAATCTTGAGATGAATGATGTGTTAATTGACTCTGATTCGGTCACTAAAGGCATGGTTCCTTAGTTCTTGATTGCAGAGATGATTGCCCGTGGCATGAGATATGTCTTTTGAATATTGATTCTAGTATTGTTTTTGTTGTTGTATACAGCATTTGGGGATCATGCGTGGAATCTTCCGAGAGTTCTGACGCACCAAGTAACGCGAGCTGCTTTTAGCTCTTCACAGAGCGAATGCGGTATTCATCGGAAAGACAACTTTTTTTTACACCTAATTGATCACGCAAGGTTATTTGTATTTGTCGCATGCCAATGTCTAAAGTTGCCTGAATTTCGCGGTATGTCACATGTCGATATTCCTCAATCAGCTTACGCACAGCATCAACGTTTTCTTAGGTGACTGCAGTTTTTGGACGACCTTGACGGGGATCATCACTGTGCTCTACACGTCCACGTTAAAATTCAGCAAACCAGCGATAAATTGTGGTTTTTTAATGGGGCTTCATCACCAAATGCAGAAATCATCCGGTCAACACGCTGTTTTTCTTTTAAACCACTTCGAAAGTTATAATAAATCATCGCTCTTGATTTTTCTCTAGTCAATTCCATTTTCTCAACGATTTAGCAAGTTTGACTAAACCCTGTGACAAGACCGAGAATCTTTTTTTAAATAAATAAATGGTATTCGATTTTTAAAACCAAGGAGTTTTCAATTAAAAAGATTTTAATATGACAGGAACAGTGGAAATCCTGCCTGTGATTAGGCCTTACGATAATACTCCAATTGTTGCATCATCCCCTGTGCTTGTTTTTGACAGATTATAGAACGCGATTAATCCTTGATCTGTGTTTGTAATCAATGGTTGCATTTGGTTCTGACATTGATTTAGATGTTTGACATCTGATTTGGTCGTCAATTTTTGATATTTTTCTATATGTTTGTTTTTGCATTAATTATATTTACAAATTTTTATATTTACTGGTTTATTTGACTTTTCCATGCAAACATTATAATCAAACGTCGTTGAAACTTTCTTTAATAATAATAATAATAATTTTTATTTCAGATATCCAAATAATTCACTGGATTACGTGTCTGTGATTTATTTAAATCATGTACACCGGAGAGTTTTTGTTGGATTACCGTCCGTAACAACTTTTTACTTGCCTGATTTGTGCCTGAGATCTGAGCGCTCCCTAGAATTTCCTGATTGGTTGATATTTTGACACATGAAGGAAAGAGATTATGGTCACGGCATCTCTTCAAGAAATTTAATGCTGTTAGATATTCTCCGCGCTTGGTCCGTATATCTTCTAATAAGCGTATTTTATTTGCAATTACCAGTCCGTACTGGTTAACACAATGATTTCTTATATCTACGCGAGTGTAAAGTACCTCTGCAAGACGCAGGAGTGCACAAGCTTGATTAAGAATGTGGTCTCTCCTATATAGGGCAAACTGAAAAAAATACCGCTAAAGAATACCGATTCCTTCTAAAGATGATTCGCGAGGCTACTGTAATCAAAAAGATCCTAATTTCAATATAGAAGATAGCTGGGTACTACCATTTGCTTGGGATCCTACAATTAATAAAATACAACTGCAAGACTTCAAGATGCTATAAGTGCGTACTGCGTAGATCGGAAAAATAATTAATAATTATTATCTATGGTAACCGTGGTTAACTATGACATCTGTACGTTGAACATCTCAATCACCCCCGTGACCATGGGTGCTGTAAGGTCCTCGAAACGACAGATATATAAAAAATTTAATATACGCGATAAAATCCGTAAAAACTAGTATTATTTAAATGGGACGAGGACCAGTTGAGTCTAAGGTAGACTTAGTTACCTAAGGCGAGCCCGGTTTATACAGAGGATTCAGCGGTGCAACTAGTTTGCGAGTCCTTAGTGGGTACAGAGGATACAGCGGAAGCAGAAGATAGCGGATGCAGAGTTGGCAAGTGGATGCAGGGGATACAGCGGAGGCGGAGTATACAGTGAATGTATAGCTGCTTTTTATTCGCGGTTTCCTATTATTAGGGGTACAGAGGGTACAGTGGTTATAGTACTGCGGTTAATTCTCGAGTCCCTATTATAAGGAGATACAGAGGATAGAGTGGATATAGTATTGCGGTTAATTCGTGAGTCCCTATCATTAGATGTTACAGAGGATGTAGTATTGATGCCATTGATATAACAATGTTTTGGAATTTGATTTTTGGCTCTAACGAGGCACCACCGTGAGCCCTTTATTCGTTTAAATCATCGTTTGGTTTACCCTGGTCTCTTTGCTCATTGCTTTCGTTAATATTTACTGCGTGAACTTGACCTTTATTGTTTGATATCGCTTTGGAAATAGTTATTGATTATTTTGATATCTAAAGTGGTTATTATTGAATTCCCGTTTTCTACAATCCTCGACAGTGTGGCCCACGTTTTTACAATAACGGCACAGTGGAAAACCTGAAGTAGATGGCCTTCGACTGTTGGTCTTTTTTGGATAGCCTCGCTGTGTAGGGTTTTGATTTTATTGGGATTGACGCTGAGGTCAACGTGCTTAATTAGGCAAATTGGTATTAATTGCCGATGGATTACGTTTAGAAGTCTGCAACATCCTTACTTCGTATACATCGAAGCAAATGGCTTCATTTAAAGTTTCATGGTCACAGCATCTGACTACCGTTGGCATTTATAATGCCACTGATAATTGTATGCAATGCTAAGTGTTGCATTGCGGCGACAAAGCCAGTTCATCTTTCTTTTTTGAGGGTATTGAAATATTGATTTCGGTTAATAAAGTGCATAGGCATGTCTCTACGCATAGTGTAAACTGATTGACCGTTTCACTATTAGTTTGACAATAATCTTGTAGGTCCGAGAGTAGTGCATCTTAATGTTTTTTCTGAACAAATTTATTTTTGAGAAATCTTTTTAACTGTTGCCAGTTCTCCAACTCTTTAATGGAGCACGCACTTTCGAAACCGGATTTAAAAGTGGATTAAAATATATTTTAATATTATATCTTGTTGATATGATGACGCAAGGCTTATTGTATTTCTGCAATTATTTAAACACAACTCTCCGATCACACTCCTAATCTCATGGCTGTTAGACGGGAGATGAGGCTGCAATCGTCAGCAGATTTGACAGCATAAAGGCAACTGAACAGACAGATCTCCAAATGCATGCGGCGAGACTTACGCAACTTTAATACTGCTCGTATTAAAGAAGCGATCGAGTGGAACAGGGCTCCAAAGTTTGCAGAATCTGTCTGCCAGAAAGAGCCAACTGTTAAAGCTGAAGACTGAGTGTGGCAGCATCGTTTCCGAGACACCTGAGATTTTGAGTGAGATTGAGAAGTTCTATGGGCAGCTGTACACATGCTGTTGGAGCTTGTTGGAGCCACACGCCAGTGTGAGTAACGATCCAAGAGCAAGTCTTACCCGACACTATCCCGATGATATCCCGGACGTCAGTCTGAGCGAAATTAGAATGGCTCTCCAGCACCTTAAAAACGGCAGGGCCCCAGGCGAGGATGGAATTACAGCGGAGCTTCTGAAAGCGGGTGGAACACCGGTACTTGAAGTCCTTCAGAAGCTCTTCAATTCCGTCCTTTATGGTGGCACTACTCCGGAGGCGTGGAGCAGAAGTGCGGTGGTCTTGTTCTTTAAGAAAGGCGACAACGCTCTCTTGAAGAACTACAGACCGATTTCCCTTCTGAGCCGCGTCTAGGTGCTGTTTAAGAGAGTCATTACGAATCGTCTCGCACGCAGACTCGACGACTTCCAGCCTCCCGAACAAGCCGGTTTCCGAAAAGGCTTCAGTACCATAGATCACATACGTACCCTGCGGCAGATTGTACAGAAGACCGAAGAGTACAATCTGCCACTTTGCCTGGCGTATGTGGACTATGAGAAAGCCTTTGATTCCGTCGAAATTTGGGCGGTGCTACAGTCCCTTCAGCGGTGCCAAGTTGACTGTCGGTATATCGAAGTGCTGAAGTGTTTGTACAGTAGGACTACGATGGCTATCCAAGTACAGAATCAGAGCTCGAAACCTATCCAACTGCAGAGAGGTGTAAGACAGGGTGACGTTATATCCCCGAAACTCTTCACCACTGCATTGGAAGACGTTTTCAAGCTACTGGACTGGAAAGGATACGGTATTCACATTAATGGCGAGTACATCACTCACCTTCGATTTGCCGACGATATAGTCCTTATGGCAGATTCGCTGGAGGACCTTAGCACTATGCTCAAAGACCTCAATTGTATCTCCCAACGGATAGGTCTTAACATGAACATGGACAAAACAAAGATCATGTTTAATGTACATGTCACACCTATGCCGGTAGTTATTGGGAGCACTATGCTCGAAGTTGTTGACGAGTACGTTTACCTGGGACAAATAGTCCGACTAGGTAAGTCCAACTTCGCCCGAGAGATCTACCGACGGATTCAAGTCGGCTGGGCAGCGTTCGGGAAATTACGACACATCTTCTCGTCAGGTATACCTCAATCTCTGAAAACTAAAGTGTACAACCAGTGCGTGTTGCCTGTGATGACTTACGGATCAGAGACGTGGTCCTTCACTGCTGGCCGTATGAGGACGCTCAAGGTCGCTCAGCGAGCTATGAAGAGGGCTATGCTCGGAGTTTCTCTGCGTGATAGACTCGGAAATGAGGATATCCGCAGTAAAACCAGAGTGACCGACATAGCCCAATGGATTAGTAAGCTGAAGTGGCAATGGACCGGCCATATAGCTCGAAGAACCGATAACCGATGGAGAACGTAGGTTCTCGAGTGGCAGCCTCGTACCAGTAGGCGTAGTGTAGGGCGAACCCCACTTGATGGAGTGACGACCTGGTAAGACATGCAGGAAGTCGATGGATGGAGGTGGCTCAGGACCTATGTTCAGCAGGAGGCCTATGTTCAGGTTCAGTGGAGTTGTGAAGGGCTGTAATGATGATGATGATGATGAATTATTTAAAACGCATTAAGTTTTTTGCGGTTTCGGTCAGATTTGTTTATGAATTTACTGATAAAGTTCAT